AAAATTGCTAAAAAATACTGAAATCTAATAGTGAAACGTGTTACTCATCATTGGCACTTAGTTCCACCGTTATCGGCTTCGTGACGTCAAATCTCATAAACGTATGGTCAGTTAGTTCGATTTGAAATCATTTTCAAGCTAATACTGCGAAATTGTTTATTTCTTTGTGACAACAAATTTTATTTTTGTTTTGATAATAATATTTTTTTGATATTTTAAATTCATTATAAATAAACACCATGATGTTTTTTGCAGTCACGTTTCACAATTTTTTTTCAATACTATATTTATCTAAGACATATAAATTAAAAATGTGATAATTCTTTTTAAAACATCTACGATAATCATTCAAAAAAGGTATTCCCGACAAAACTAATTTGAATGGAGAATAATGCATTTGTTGTCATTAAACTATCCGTCGGTCGGCGCCACTGTACCCGTCGTCGGCTGGCGTAAGCAGTGTAGAAAAGTAAGTGATACGCCCATTTCAAATCGCAGTGTGCTTTGACTGCTAAAACAGCCTTAAAGCTGCAGAACAACATAGTCGAACTACAAAAACATCATCGGGTTCCGAGATTATCTTTGATGAATTTTGTCAGTTCCAATGAATCTACAACAAATTTTTAGACCAATGACCCAATCTGAACATTTTATGAACATCCAGCAAGACGAAGAGGGTGAAGATTTGACTGTTGAAGTAGACTCTCAAGAATATGAATCTGATTAAAATATCTAAAGGAATCAAAACAATACTCCCAATACTTACCCAATTATCAATAGCAGTATCAATAATCAATATCAATAATAAGGTAACATCTAGAACTTGACAAGTAATGTTCCCTTAAATTATCCTTAAATTGTTATGACAGTTACTGGAGTAGGCCTACAAGGAAAACCACGGTAAAAAAACACGCCGAGTACACTACCTCATAGGTGGCATGGAAATGTGTGCATATCATGTATAATATGACTCTTATCTTATATTTTATTTATCTTATATTTTTAATAATACACTTTTAATGAAATCATGAATGGGGTTTTGATAGAAAATACCAGTTTGTTAGGTAGAATATTATTTTCTATTTGTTCCAACACATATAAAACTGTTGGTTTAGACCAGGGGTCTCCAAACTACGGCCCGAGGGCCACATCCGGCCCGCAGACAGATTTTGTCCGGCCCGCGGAGACATAATTGAAAACTCCTTTTAGAGAACAAATATTTTTTATAGCAAATAAAATGTTTGTGATAAGTTGGATAAAGAAACACAGAATGGTAATGAGTAAAGACATGTATAATTTATGCAGTGAACTTAACTTCAGCATATAATAACTAACAAATTATTGAAATGAATCCAACTAACATTTTATACATTGTAAGTAATGAACAACACATACCTTATAACAAACATGACATATGAAATGCTAATGAGATGTATGTAATTGAGATTTTCCACCGACAATAGTTTGTAGTTGTGGACTAATTTTACTTGTACCAATTATTAAAAGAGATTTAAGATGCTCGTCAGTTAATTTAGATCTGTATACATTTTTTGTGTACTTCATTTTGGAGAAGGTTTTCTCACACAAATAAGTAGTACCAAAAACGGAAAACAGCGCACGAGCAAATTTATGCAAATTATCAAATTGTGTCAGTGGAAGACTCTTATAAAATTCCAACAAAGATGAGTTTTCATATTTGTTCTTAATTATATCACTGCACTGAAGATCAATCATTTCCATTTGAAGTTCCGAGGCTAGGGTTTCAATGTCAGCATCAAAAGGATTCTGAAAAATCTTAATTTGATTCGCAATGGCATCAAAGTCCGAGAAACGAGTATCAAAATTTATCTTCAAAGCACTCAAAGTTTCGATTGCAAAATCGATAGCAAACTCAGTCTCAGTAGTGTGGCTGAATATTTCACATGTTTTAAAATGTGAAAAACATTTACTTCGTAGTTGTGATTGACACAGTATCAATTTCATCCGGAATGACTTGATATTAGTGTATAAATCAGGAAGATGCTGGTTTTCTCCTTGCAATCTCAAATTCAGTTCGTTCACATGTTTTGTCAAATCAACATAGAATGCTAACTTCCATAGCCATGCGTTGTTTTGTAATTCAGTAAGAGGGCGGTGCTTTTCATTCAAAAAAATTTCGATCACTGCTCGAAGTTCAAAAAAGCGCTGAAGAACTTTCCCACAACTAAGCCCGCGCACGGCAGTAGGATAAGGTAAGTCTGTTTCTCCAATCTCTGCAATAAATTGTCGGAATTGTCGGTGATTCAACCCAAAAGATCTGATGAAATTAACAGTTGATATGACTGGTTTCAGAACGTCAGACATATCCAAACATTTTCCGCACAAAGACTGTTGATACAATGTAAGACTAATGGTTTTTGCCTCTATCAGTTGTAATACATTTCAAGTTTTTCCATCGAAGGTTCTTTTTATTAATGGTCATTTCAACTCCTTTAAAAATATCGGTACCAGTAGTTGTGCCATGAATACTATACATATCAAAAAGTTTTTCGTGCACTTCATAGCTTTTATCTACTCCTCTAATATAAATCAACACCTGAGCAGTATCTAACACATCCGTTGACTCATCCAAGGCCAAAGAAAACCACTCAACATGTCCATTTTTGTCGAACAGTTGAGAGGATATATTTTCAGCGATGTTTTCTACCCTTCGAGCCACAGTGTTTGCTGACATACTGACAGTTTTTAATAAATTTACCTTTTCAGGGCACATTTCTTCGACTACTGCAATTATGCATTCCTTGATCATTTCTCCATCGGTGAATGGTTTTCCACGTTTTGCAATTTCAAGAGCCACACGAAAGCTGGCACGAGTTGCCGCCTCTTGTTCAGTTTTGACTTTTGTAAATAAAGATTGCTGCGATTTCAATCCGCACTTCAAAGCTTCGAATTTTTCTGTCCGCATAATTCCTGTATATTTTGAGTAATTTTGAGAATGTTTTGTTTCATAATGACGTTTCATGTTATATTCTTTAAGAACGGCTATGCTTTCATTGCAAATCAAACATAGCGCCTTGTTACTGGACTCAATTACGAAATACTGAGTGTTCCACTGATCTTTGAATTTTCTGCATTCACTATCAATTTTTCGCTTCTTTTTCATTCTACTAAATCACACACAAAAGCAACAATTCAAATCAAATCAAAATACTGTTACACGCACAAACTTGTTTTAAGGAGGTACGCCTTATTTTATTTCACAACAGTTTCATAGGAACTGACTTGTAGTTACGCCACTACTGTCATCGCTTCGTCCTCGCACTCGTCCCACTTAGGTGGGGTCTTTAGTCTCCTCCCAGTTATCAGGTGCGTACCACTTAAGTGATTTGCGGCTATTATTTTTCAGACTTCTTATTATTTCGGATAGTTAAGTGTGTTTGTGACAATTTCTAACGATGGCGTTGAAAAATAGTAGAAAGAATAATTATGTTATAAGTGGACAATCTCGGGAGAGATTGGAGATTTCCACTGGTGGAAATATTTTGTTTATTTATGTCTACCTTGTATTGAATTAAAATATATCAAAAATAGGTGAATATTTGACATACTTAATAATGTTGACAGCTTACCACACTTACAAAAAATTAAATTATTCGTTATTTTACAAATATGATCCACACTTCAGCAAAATTCTATTACACATAAAATACAGAAATATATAAAATATATAAATAATAATAAAATATAAAAAAAATATATATAAAATACAGTGTTGCCATCTTGGCCCTCGGAACTTACTGGAGTAATCAGTATGGCCCTAAGGCTGGAAAGTTTGGAGACCCCTGGTTTAAAAATTCGAAACCTTCTCAAAAAATCCACATCGTCCAAAGTTTCAAAATAATTTGGTCGATTCTTCATAACTTGAGGTCTTCTTTCTGTTTCTTCTTCAGAATCAGATCAGGAATCGAATCGATCTAGATTTTCGATAAACTGTAGTGCTTCCATTTTATAAATAGTACCAAAGCAACAATTAATTAATATAAAATAATACAAAAATAACTAACCATAGAGTAACAACACACAAATTACGGTAAGAAGCAAATTATTGACAAATTTCACAAGTACATCCGTCAAAACTGTTAAAACATAACCTCACTTTTAACTATAAGTAATACCTAAACTAATTACTATTTAACTGGGAATAAGCCACAATTAAAGATAAAAATACGTTTATTGACGTTTCAATTTCCACTTCGGAAATCGTTCTACAATTTAAATTTAAAATGCCACAAGAAAATAGCTTCAGAACAATATTAATACCTAAACTGTTTAGGGAGATCGCAAAACGTATCCTACCATTAGGTAATGCTTAAGCGGTTTAGGCAATTCTTAGCATATGGTGAAATCCGTTTTAGAGTTAGGAAGTACCTAAGCCCACTTAAGTAATTCTTAAATATTTAGATATCGTCGGTGAAATCGGGCATTAGAATCGCGATATCTCAGGAATGGTAACTCTTAAAAATAAAATCATACCGACAACATTTTTGAAGAGAATTTTAAGAGCTACAACTTTGGTTGAAGGTTTTTTGGATAAAACCGTTTTAGAGAAAAGTCTAAAACCTAAAATTTTGACCTTTGACCTCGAATAACTTTTGTAGCACACATTATGGGAATTTTTAAAACTTTATTTTTAATGGTAATATTACCACTCTCTTCACCAATATTTGGCTTTCCGGAAATTTTGGTTATTTTATTTTAAATGTCTATATTGATCGTAGTATTAGGTAAAACAAAGATATTTAAACCTGGTGTTTATTATTTTTTCGCTGTAGTGGTTTTATGACTTTATTTAAAACTATTAAATTGTAGACATAAAATTCATTAAGTATTATAGTTTTTTGGTTCAATCGAAGCGCGCAGTGATGGTACATAATAATTATTCAAAGTAGTTTATTTTTTCTAAAAAACTGTCATTAGTCATCTTATCATCAGAAAAATCAAGTGTTTATTATTATTTTTAGTTTGGCTAGCCAAAAAAATGTCTGTGATGCGTTTGAAAACAGCTTTGAGGACCGACGAAAGGGTCAAACTAATGAACGAAATTATCTCCGGTATTCAGGTGATTAAAATGTATTGCTGGGAAAAACCGTTCGCTCATGTTATTGATTTGGCACGAAGGTAAGTAAATATGAAAGTAATTTATTAAGTGTTTCTTATAAACCGTTCGCCAAATGATCGAGATGTTGCCAAAGAATGCAATAAAAACGAATATTTAGGATAACATTAAACTAAACTATTAAAACACTATAACTAAATTTTAATAAGCGATGCAGGACGTGTAAACAACGATAAAGTTGTGTTTTAATTGTTAAAGATGTTCAAAATTTATTTACTCGTTCTGATAGTAACAGTATATTATTAAGATCACTTTGTCAATTTTTCTCTTTTCTCGATTATTAGTTTTTATTGCATAGTATATAAATTATTGTAATCACTGAATACACAGTTCGTGAAAAATAATCATTTAATTAAATTAATAAATAATTTAAACGATTATGCAAGTAAAGATTGTCCGATAATATTTAAAAACTAAACGAAATAACCATCTTTATTTCGCTGGAAAATTGCTATAGTTTATTTTTATGAACGAGAGAGTAATTAGCATAATTTTAACTGGTACCTCCGACCACTCCATGGGCGTGCTCAAGATTAATTGAAAAATTACTTTGAATAATTGTAAAAATAAATGAATTATTTCAGTACTATAAAGTGTTATGTGTATGTAAACAAAAGTGACCTCTTTTATCACACACTATATTAGAACTGACTGGCCTACATTAAAAAGGGTTTTAAAAAATTCACATTTTTATTAATTTTTAAAAATTAAAAACCGTCGGTACGTTAAATAGATGAATAAAAATATTAATATAAAACTTACAGCTACTTGTTACAAATCCAAATCAGATTCAGAAGATGAACTTTCAGAACCAAGATTTATAATAACTGGCTCGATCATTTTATCAGTAATATTGTCCAGCTTCCACATTTTTTCCTCTTCTTTAATGTTGTGATTTACTGCCTTTTCCCAGTTTTCAGGTTTTACATTATTTACGGCCTCCAAAAACAAACTGTTTAACATCATGAATTTTAAAAGTGGTATTTTTTCTTGAAACTTCACTCTTTATCTGTGCCCATACCAGCTCAACCGGGTTTAATTCACAATGATATGGTGGGGATCTAAGTACTATCATTCCACGATTTTTGGCAATTTCATCAATTTCGTATTTTTTCAATTTTTCTTTATGAAGGGCACACAACGAATAAAGTTCCTTTCTTATAGATCCGAGATGGTACGTAATATTTTTTGAACTCAGCCAATTCTGCAAGTCTTTTTTTAACCACTTGGTTGTGGGCAGTCCTTCTATAAATCTGGAGTGATAACTTGCATTATCCATTACTATTACACAGTTCTTAGGAAGAAGATCTATCATTTGTTCGAACCATTCTTGAAAGACATCAGCGTTCATGTCTTCATGGTAGTCACCGGTACGAGTTGATTCAAAAGTTAATAAACCACCTTCAACAAAACCGTCTGAACTGCCAATGTGTACTATTATCAGCCTGCGTCCCTTTCCTGATGGTGGGTTTAAACCAGTAGATAAGTTATTTACAAAAGCGTGCCTTTGACTTGTAACAGTTTCATCCTGCCAAAATTTATTTGGTGTATGACCCTCGTTGATCCATGTTTCATCAAGATAAAATATTTTGCTTTTTTGGTTTCTCATTTCCTTTATGGTTCTTAGAAAATGTCTTCTCCATATGATAATATCGCTTCTTTCTAATAAAATAGACTTTCTGTAATTCTTTTTCCAGCGGAAGCCTATTTCTTTTAAAAGTTTCCATAACGTACTTCGACTCATTTCTGGGTAATCCTTATCATCTCGAACTGAGACAAGAACTTTATCCAATGTTGGAAATTCTTGTCTAAAGAAGAATTCATGCACTTTCCGTCGAAGTCCTTCTTTAAAATGATATTCTATTTGAAATTTTGGTTTCCCTGGAGCATTACGTGGCATTTGAAAACTACCACATTTCTCTTCTTTAATAACTCTGTAAATCGTAGATTTCCCAACACCAAGTGTACTGCTAACTAACTCAACGGTCTCATCAACACTTTCACATAAACGTTTGTCTGTAAATGATTTAAAACAATTAAATATTAATGTTTTTTCATTAACTGTTAAAGGACCAATTTTTCGGCGTTTACACGGCACTTCCAAATTTTCCATAACACTAGTATACACAATAAACTGCACCTTGCAACTGAAGTACCTACTTTTAGTGAACTGTTAAGAATTTTGAATACGCCACTTGGACCTTCCTACAAAATGGAAAAACCCACTATCACATTTTCTGTGAAATAAGTTTAGAAGGTAATTATCTAGTCAATTACTGTCGTAGATTCCTGGAATTAAAGAATTAAATGTTTGATTGTTGAAACCCTTACTCCGTGGAATACACTCATTTCAGATAAAATAAAACCTTTTATTTTATCTAAAGAAGTAAACTTTAGTTTGCAAATAGGTAGGTACTTATTAAACTTTTATTGGTTACATATAACCAATAAAATAAACATCTTACATTTCTTGCAAATTCATTCGTACCTGTTATCCTCCATCACTCCGACACTGGCAACCTTATTTAGGGATTAGTAACCCTCACAACTATTGTATTCTATTCTGCTCCAACCTTTATACCTGGTGGTCATACTCAATTTAAAATTGTTTTCCTATATACTTCTGTAAACTTGTTGACAAATATCTGTTTTTCATTGAGTCACCCGTATCAACAGTTTAGGGATTTGCATACATAATTTATTGTTTTATTACTCTCTCATACATAAAAATACACTATATTCGACGCCATCGGAAACTGATACAGGTTCGGACCAGATTTACTATTTAGTATTGAACTGTATTTTGAATGGATTTATTAGTAATGTTTTTGTCGTTTTAATGGTTAAAGGACAATTTATGTTTATGCTGTTAATATTAATAATTATTTATTATTTCTTTTAAAACTATTTAAGTATTTATTTTCATCTGTATAACGGCTTTAAACTTTCTGCTTGCTCATTGGCAGATTAATACCTCTATTGAAGGTTGTCACTTCATCTTTTGCGCGGTAGTCCGATACTTCTTCTGCCGATTGGTTACTTATCTTTTGCTAGTTTGACGACACGGGTCTCCTTCATTTTGCTTATGCAGTTATTCCATTCTTTTTTTCTATTTTGTGTCCATTCATTTATACACTGTACGTTATAGTCGGCACGTAATTTCGTGAGAAAATTTACAGAGACCAAAACAAGCAAAATACTAGTAAAATGGCAGCGCTGTTAGAGTTACCACTCCTTTATAGTAGTACATAGTAGTAGAACAGTAGCGTAGATATCTAATTTTAAATTAAATAAAAGTTTTTACTTTTATTTAATTTTATTTACCAAAAAGTTTCATTTTCTATAAAGTTTAAATAAAAAATATAGGTGTTTTTTAACTTCTGTGATATATCTTGGGAGTGATAACACTAACCGACTCGGCTGAACAGAACTTATTGTAAAATAATAATATCGATATAAAACATTGTTAATAATAGTAGTTATTCAGCGAGAATGACAGTGATAGTTTCAGTTGACATCCCTAAAACATTAATAATTTTTGTCCTATCAAGAAATGTGTTTATACCCTGTTTTCAAGGATATATAAGCAAAATGAGAATATCTACAATTCAAATAGAAATAAAGATTTCAACTAACACCTATTAAGTACTTACTATCTACTCAGAATCGCTGTTATCACTAGTATCCCTCGTATCATCTAAATTTATATGTAATTTGGTTAATACTGGTAATTATTTAACATAGTCATTTTCCACTCCGATCACATGTTTTATTTTTATTACATTTTTCCAGTTAGTTGCTGTAATTTTTGTGACTTCTCTTCTAATTAACTGAAAAACAGTAGACAAAAAATTTTGGAGCAACGTTTCTTCTCATTATATTTCCTTTAAGTTGAGCCCATATTAACTCTATTGGGTTCAATGTACAATAATAAGGAGGAAGTCTAAACACAGTATGCCCGTTACTACGAGCACAGTTGTCAACAACATATTCCTTTTCGTACTGTTTACTATGAACAACCTCCAACAATTGTTTTTTAATATAAGATGTCTCAAAATACGAATCTTCCGTGAATAAAAAATCCTGAATTTTTAATTTATTCCAACTATTATTTGAAGTTTTTTTCATTAATCTTGAATGACATAATGCGTTGTCCATGATAATCACACTATCTTTAAGTAATTTCGAAAGAAGACATTTTCAAACCATGATTTAAAAATTGAACTTTTCATATCGTCATGATAATCCAGAGACACGTTTTTAATTTGTTTTGCAGTTATTAATAATGCATCGTCGACCCATCCATTTTCTCCACCGTAGTGTAAAATTATAATTCTCTTTCTTTTATTGGGCGGTACTCAGTTGAAACACTTTTTGTTATTATTTGTCCAACTTTTTTTCATGGTGTCATGAGTATCATACCAGGTCTCATCTAAATAAACAATATTTCGTTTCATTTTTCGATACTCAGTTATCTGTCTGATATAATTGTTTCTTAAAGAAATTATTCTAGTACTTTCCATTAATGTCTGTCTCTTGTCTATAGTTTTGTACTTAAAATTATTGGCTTTAAGAAATAATCGAAGTGTTGTTGCTGAACACGAGAGAATGCACTTTCGAACTAATTCACTTCGAAAGCTTTCAATAGTTGGAAAAATATTAGCCGCATACATTTGGTATATTGTTTTAGTTATAGATTCAATTAAGTGCGGTTCTATTTTTTCTGAATTTGCCACAATCCTTTCTCTTCTGTCTAGAAGAAGATGTTTCTCCTATAATTTTGTAGTGGTTTGCTTTGGGCACTCTGGTTAAAAAACATGTTTCTGCAATTGCCTCTGAATTAGACAATTCAGCACACAGTCCTTCATAAACATTTTTTAGCATACGTTTGGCATCATCAGAAAGGTATTGAAAATGTCGCTTACGTTTTACTACACGCCTTTGTAAATCTTCCAATCGATTAGAGGGTTCCATTGTCTCTTCAGCTACATAATTATTATCG